GGGAGGTGAAAAGGGGGAGGAAAAGGGGGGGGGGAGATGCTTGAGACGGGGGAGTTGGATAAGATGTTAGGGCATTAATTGGGAGAGAGTGTTGCATGGTGCAAGATTGGGGAATAAGAATTCATTGAATGGTAACGAGTTTTTTTCCTTTTCCGTATGGGCTCAAGTTACGAACTACTGTAGTGGGGGACAAAACTGCATGGAGTGGGCCCATAATAGCATCCTGTAAGGGACTAGTTCCAGCTGGGACTGCCGTTAGTACCATGTAAAAAGCCGCTGGCGTTGGGGGGGCGACACTTACAATAGGACTTAGGTAGTATGAGGGTATCCATAGAGGTGGGGTACCGTCTTCACCCGAATAAACGCCCCGTCATTATAGCCGTATTTGGTGCGACTTGCACTCCACATATCCATAGAGGCTGTCGGTCGTTATAGCTGTATTTGGAGCAACTTTCAGTTTGAGATACAGCAATAATGACGGGGCGTTCTATTCGGTGAAGATAGTACCGACAAAGAGCAATAAGCAGGGAGACGAGAGGGAGCATGGTCTCTGGTTATCATTGGAATGGTGGAAACGGATATCCGCAGTAGATGGAGCATATGATACTCGCAGTTGACGGAGCACAATCAATCCAACACTTAGCAAAGGTCATGCTAGACAAGCCGGTAATCAAAGAAAAGGGAGCTGACGACACCCTGAGGTGGAGTAAATGAGGGGCCCAGGGAGCTGACGACACCCGGAAATGAGGGGCCAAGGGAGCTGACGACACCCTGAGATGGAGGAAATGAGGGGCCAAGGGAGCTGACGACCCCCTGAGATGGAGGAAATGAGGGGCCAAGGGAGCTGACGACACCCTGAGATGGAGGAAATGAGGGGCCAAGTGAGCTCTGACGACACCCTGAGATGGAGGAAATGAGGGACCAAGGGAGCTGACAACACCCTGAGATGAAGGAAATGAGGGACCAAGGGAGCTGACGACACCCAGAAATGAGGGGCCAAGGGAGCTGACGACACCCTGAGATGGAGGAAATGAGGAGCCAAGGGAGAGATGGAGGAAATGAGGGGCCTCCACTTAACAAAGACTGGCATTGTGGGGCGACATCGCAAGTGAGCTGATGACACCCTGAGATGGAGGAAATGAGGGGCCAAGGATGACCAGTAGCGGGCAAACTGCAAGGCACGCAACGGTGATCCGAATCTGATGGTTCCCACATGTGATGGGAGTGTCTGAAATCTGGCTCTATCCAATGGCAAGTCCATGATGTGGCTAGAGCCTAGCCAAACGATAGCTCTTGTGGAATCAGGGGACAATGTGGTGGTCCCAGCGATGCTGGGACTGAGAGGATCTGTTGAAGCGAAAAGACTTATCTGACAGTCAATCCTCCCTCAAAGGGGGTAGTCAATGCTGTCCAGGGTTCCCTTCAGCCTACCGTCTTCCCCGGAATAGTATGTATGGTCATTATTGCTGTATCTAGACTGAAAGTCGCGCCCATTACAGCTATAGTGACCGTACGTTCTATTCATGGGGAGATGATTGTAGACAGAAAAGGAAGCGTCGTGTGGGTCATCATGTTGATTTTATTGAATGCGCCGGTGGAAATGAACCGGGCTAACGCTCCCCAGAATGCACAATGAGCCAGGACCACGAGGACCTGTTCTCTAAAAAACAAAAAAAAGAACAAAGAAAACGTGTATGAAATTTTCTATAAATCCTTCGTCGCGAAGAATTTTCGCAATACTTCTGTTGAATGGGTTAAAAACTTTTGGCTCTTGGAGGCCGTCCATTCCAGTATGCAGAATTGACGGCTTGTTTTTTGCACGATCATTGTCCTCTCAGGTGCGGGTAAGACGACGACTTGTACAAAATACGCTTATCATTACCAAAGGAAAGGCTGGAAACCAGCATTGGTTTGTGCGGACACATTTCGAGCAGGCGCCTTTGATCAGCTAAAGCAGAACGCGACAAAGGCCAAGATTCCTTTCTATGGAAGGTGTGCGATTCACATATTGCATCTGTGTTACTCTGTGTGTGTGTGTGTGTGTGTGTGTGTGTGTGTGTGTGTGTGTGTGTGTGTGTGTGGATTTTATTTCTTCTCCTTATCTGCATTAGTGTTTATTTACTGCTGATGTTAATTTTCTGCTTTGTAATGAATTCTACATATTCCATGCTGCTGAGATTGCTTCCTTCACAGTAGTCAGATTGCACCTACCGTCTTCACCCGAATACACCTAGACTGAAACTTGCACCAAATTTGGCTATAATGACCGTCCGTTCTATTCGGTGAAGACGGCAGTAAGGTTTTAAGATTTCTTTTTCTCTCTCTTTCTGTTCCTTTGACCTGAAGGTCTCTGACTTCCCCGAGAATCGCAATTATAAACAACGAGCTCGTCTTCCGAATGCTTGTGCCAGTTCTGCACCCTCGTCTGTTCCACCTCTTGAGTCCACTTCTGGTCCAACTTCTGGTCCAACTTCTGGTCCAGCTTCTGGTCCAACTTCTGGTCCAGCTTCTGGTCCGGTGCTGGTGCTAGTTCTGGTCCAGCTTCTGGTCCGGTGCTGGTGCTAGTTCTAATCCAATTTCTAGTCCAGTTCGTCTGTCAGTTAGTCTAGTTTCTGGTCCGGTGCTGGTGCTAGGTGTACTCCAACTGCTGGTCCAGTTCTGGTCCCTGTTCCAGTGCCAGTTCTGGTTGAATTTCTGGTCCAGTTCTGGTGCAATTTCTGGTGCCAATTCTGGTCCAATTTGTGGTCCAGTTCTGGGGTCAGTTCTGGTCCAATTTCTGGTCGAGTTCAGGTCTGGCCCAGTTCTGGTCCAATTTGTGGTCCAGCTCGAGTGTCAGTTCTGGTTCAATTCCTGGTGCCAGTTCGCCTTCAAATTATAGTCCGGTTTTGGACCTCTGGTCAAATTTCTGCTGCCAGTTCTGGTCCAATTACTGGTCCTGTTCGTGGTCCATTTTCTGGTTCAGTTCTGGTCCAACTTTTGGGGTGAGTTGCCATTCACTTTCTGGTGCCAGTTCGCGGTCCAGCTTCTGGTCCAGTTCTTGTGCGAGCTTCTGGTCCGATTTCTGATCCCGTTCTGCTGTCGTTGCGGTCCCTGTTCCAGGTATTGTCGAGGCTCCAGGTGTACGTCATGTTCCTCCGACAATTTTCAGTACCGAGGAATTTCATATGTGCAGTTCGATTTTAGGAATTTCGGTACCTGCTGCAGCGCTTGCCCTGCGCTTGCTGCTGGTCTAGCTGTGGTTCTTGCTGGGGTCCCAAGTGGTTAACAGGGACCCCCACTGTTCAGGCCGAAGCTAACCTCCCCAGCACTGAAAAGTGCATTTGGGCATAATTGTGTTTTCAACTTTTCAGGGTTTATTTTTATTTTATTATTTTTTTATATATTTTTTTTATATTTTTTTTTAAAATCAAATTTGGACCATTTCTCGATTTATGCGTGTCATCCTTGCGCAGGGGCCATGCTAATCTTCTCTGTATCGTTGGCCCTGTATTATTTTTTGTCAAGGTCTGGGTGTGCCAATTTTGGTGTTTGTTGCTGTTTTGGCCAGCCCTGAAAATCCTGAAATTCCTGAAAATGTAAGAAAAAAACTTTAAAAAAGTTAAAAAAACTGAAAAGGGCGAATTTTGCATGAAAACACACTTTTGCCTTGGGGCTTAAGGCCCCTTTGATATTTTTTTTGTGCTTTTTTTTTTTTTGTTGCTGTTGGTTTTATTTGGTGTCCACTCTACGGACTGGTGAGACAAGTTTGGCTTAAAAGGTGTAGGACGTTTGTTATAATGACCCTGAAAAAACCCCATCCTGAAAATTTCCCTGTTGTTTTTTATGCTGTTGCTTTTTTGCTCTGTTAACCGCTTCTCGCTGCGGTCTTCTTACCCGTTTGTCATTCCCTTTTCCAGCTGAGGTACGAGTTTGGTTATCAGCTCTGATTCCACGTTTGATTCCTGCGCTGACTGTTGTTTCCTGGGCGCCTGGAACCTTTGGCGTTGAGAGGTTATGGGGTCCCGGAAAATGGGATGGGATCTGTTCTGGGACCACAGGTGTGAACTCTTGACAGTCTCGCTTAGAAGTAATATGACCTGCGAAGTAAACATGAACCTGGTCATCAAAATGGCAACATTCATGCTAACGTTTACCTCCTTTGTCTGGACCACCCGGACGAAAAAAAGACCCATGTGGATGCATTGATCTTTTAGGGAGCCTCGGGTGGCCCATTCGATCTTTTAGGAGGCTGAAACGAAACGACGGCCGCCGATAAGATTTATCAGCGGCGGCCGTCGTCGGGCCCAGCCCCCGACTGTTTAGGAGTTTGGGAAAACTGTCAGTTTCGAAGTTTTCCCTATTTTCCCAACCGTCAAAGGTACGAGTAGTGTTTTAAACCACCAGTACATCCTAGAAAGCAGATTGAGCCTCTGCTAAAAAATAGGAGGCCATGAAAAGCGCCGATTCATTTTATCGAGGGTCCATGTCCGCCGAATTTTTAGGAGAGGCTCAATCTGCGTTTTCGGATGTACTGGTTGTTTAATGCAAAGATCTGGTGGCTATTGGAGAGAGCGTCTTTCGAGAGATACCCCTTCGTACGTCTTGGTTCACAGCTCTCAAGAGTTGTTTTTAAAGGATTCGCTACTATGTTTGCTGTGCGGAAAATTTTGTGATCCTGCAGTCCTCTGACTACCGTCTTCACCTGAATAGAACGCCCGGTCATTATCGCTGCACCTGGACTGAAAAGTGCCGCAAATACAGCTATAATGACAGGGAGTTATATTCGGGTGAAGACGGTAGAGCGCTTGCCCCCATAACATATGAAGTCTAATGGAACGATTGAAGGGTTATTTTTTCGTTGGTCCATCTTTTTTTCAAGGGAAATTTTCGAGATGCCCCTGAAATTTCCATTAATTTGCCGCGTGCCCCTCTGAAGGCCGACTTACCCTGTCGTGCCCCTGGGGCCTCTGAAGTTTTCTGCAGGCCCCTGTCAGCATCGGGCACAACCTTCCGCTATGCCCTTACCGGACCGCGCGTGGCGTTTCGTCGGTACCTCCCCGAACTGCCCTCGCAAGGGGCATGCATCTTTCTGTGGCGCCCTTGCAGCAGGCCACCAAAAATGCTGCACCAGTCAGTCTCTTCACGTTCGCCGGTTGGAGTTCGCCGGCTTGGGGCTTGCTGCCTCGGAGCTCGTTGGCCTGCCGTGCGAAGGTGAACGTGTGTGTGTGTGTGTGTGTGTGTGTGTGTGTGTGTGTGTGTGTGTGTGTGTGTGTGTGAGAGAGAGAGAGAGAGAGAGAGAGAGAGAGAG